AATAAAATATTTATTTGAAAATAAAATACAGCAAAATATAATTAAATAATAAAAATATAACTTACAATCTAAAATTTTAAATATTTTTTTAAATAAAAAATTTAATTGAATATAATTACAATAAAAATATATAATTAATACAAATAATCAACAAAATAATTTACCTCCTTTAATAAAGTAATATTTTTGTTTTGTAAATAAAAAATTTAGTTAAATAATATTATAATATAATTAAATACTAATAATTAATAAAAATAACTTACTCTCTAGTAAAATTTTTATTTTTAAATAAAATTTAAAATTAAATTATAGTAAAAATATATTTTATATTAATAATAAATAAAAATAATTTACCTTCTTTAATAATATTTTTGTTTTTAAATAAAAAACTTAATTAAGTTTAAATTATAAATATTATTAATAATCAATTGAAATAACTTACCCCCTTTATAATATATTTGTTTTTAAATAAAATTTAGTTAAGTTTAAATTATAATAAAAATGTAATATTTATAATTAATAAAAATAACTTACAATCTATTATATAATTAATTATAATTATTTTTAAAAATAAAAATTTAAATATTATAAAATTTATAATAAATAATCAATAAATGTTATTTACCATCTATTATATTATTAATTATAAATATATTTATAAATAAAAAAAATTAGTTAAAATTAAACTATAATAAAAGATTTAATTAAAAGACTAATAATTAATAAAAAAAATTTACAATCTAAAAAATTAAATATTTTTAAAAATAAAAAAATTAGTAAATTTTAAATTATAATAAAAGTATAAAATAATTAATAAAATTATTTTACCATTTATTATTAAAATAATTAATTATTAATTATTTTTATTAATAAAAATTCATATTAAATCTATAAAGTATCATTAAATACTAATAATAAATAAAATAATTTACCATCTATTGTATATTAATTATTTTTTAAATGAAAACTTATTTGAGTTTATATTATAATAAAAAGAATAATTATATAATGATAATCAATAAAATAACTTACATCCTAATAACATTTTTGTTTTTAAATATAATTTAATAAAATCTATAATTAAATTCTAATAATAATCAATAAGAATAATTTTACCATCTATTGTTTTATTAATTATTAATTAGGTTTTTTAAATTAAAGTTTAATTAAGTTTAAATTTAATAAAAATATAATTAAATCATAAAAATCTTTTACCATCTATTATATATTATAAATTAATAATTATTTTTAAATAAAATTCATTTAAATATAAAATATAATTAAAAAATGATAAATAATAAAAATAAATTACCATCTATTATATTATAAATTAATTATTATTTTTTAAAATAAAAAAATATTGAAGTTAATTAATTATAATAAATTAAAAATAAATACTTAATAAAATAACTTACTCTCTTTAATAATATATTTTTTTTTTTTAAATAAAAAAATTTAGTTATTTTTAAATTATAATAAAAAGTATAATTATATATTATTAATCAATAAAAATAACTAACCATCTATTATATTATTAATTATTAATTATTAATTTTTTTTTTAAAAAATTTAGATAAATTTAAATTATAATAAAAAATATACAATAAATAAAAAATAACTTACTCCCTTTTAGTTTCATTTTTGATTTTAAATAAAAAATTAAAATATATAATTAAATTATAATATATAATAAAAAATAACTTACATCCTTTAGTAATAATATTTTGTATTTTAAATAAAAATGTTAAATTGAATTTAAATTATAATTATAATAAAAATTAATTAAATACTAGTAATTAATAAAATATATTTACCACCTTTAATAATATTTTGTTTTTTAAATAAAATAATTAGTTAAGTTTAACTAAAATATAATTAAAAAATAATTAATAAAAATAATTTACCATCTTTAGTAATAGTTTTAATTTTTAAATAAAAATTTAATTAAATTAGATCATAATAAAAAATATAATTAAATACTAATAATCAATTAAAATGACTTACAATCTAAATAAATAATAAATTTTTTTTAAATAATAAATTTAATCAAGTTTAATTATATTATAATTAAATTTTACAATTAATAAAATAATTTACCATCTATTCCATTATTCATTATTATTTTTTTAAATAAAAAATATTGTCAAATAAATTAAAATAATAATATAATTATATATTGAGTAATTAATAAAATAACTTACATCCTTTAGTAATAATTTATATTTAAATAAAAATTTAGTTAAGAATAAAAATATATTAATAATTAATATAATAACTAACCTACTATTATATTATTATTATTAATTATTATTTTAAATAAAATTTGTTAAGTTTAATTATAATAAAATTTTTATCAAATATAAATAATCAATAAAATAACTTACTTCCTATAATAATATTTTTATTTTTAAATAAAAATTTTGTTTAAGTTTAAATTATAGTATAAAAAACTGATTTCAATAAAAAAAAATAACTTACCTCCTTTAATAATATTTTGTTTTAAATAAACAATTTTATAAGTATAAATTATTGTAAAAAATATAATTAAATACTAATATTCAATAAGAATAATTTACTCCCTTAGTAATATTTTTTATTTTTAAATAAAAAACTTAATTAAATTTAAATTTTAATAAAAGTATAATTAAATACTGATAATAACTTACAATCTAAAATATTAATTATTTTTTTTAAATAAAAAATTTTGCTAAATTTAAATTATAATAATAAAAATAACTTACTAACTATAATATTTTTAATATTAATCGAAAAAAGTTAGTTAAATTTAAATTGTATTAAAAGTATAATTAATACTAAAAAATAACTTACAATCTTAAATATTAAATATTTTTTTTTAAATAAAATATTTAGTTAAATAAAAAATTTGATTTATACTGATAAATAATAAAAATTATTACCTTCTATTATATTATCATTTATTAATTATTAATAAAAATTTAATTAGTTTAAAAGTTAGTAAAAAGTTAATTAAATATTGATAATCAATAAGAATAACTTACTTTCTATTATATTTTTAATAATAATTATTATTTTAAATAAAAAATTTAATTGAATAAAAAATGATTTATATTAATAATCAATAAAAATAACCTACCATCTATTAAATTTTTAAATATTATTTTAAATAAAATTTAGTTGAATTACATTACAATAAAAATATAATTAATTAATTAAATAACTACTTTCTGTAATATAATAATAATTAATATTTTTGTTTAAATTATAGTAAAATTATTAATTATTAATTAATATTTTTTGAAAAAATTATAGTAAATTATTAATTAACAAACATATCTTACGTTCTATAATATTTTAAATAAAAATTTAATAGAGTTTAAAAAATTATAAAGAATAATTAAATATGCTATGTATATAAATAAGTATGCTGTTTAACTACTAAAATAGTTTCAGTTTGACTAAACTAATTTTAATAATTCCTATAAATCTAAATTGCAGAATTTTAATTTTGAACAGCAATACTAAGTATATACTTATTTAACTTACCAACTAAAATACCATTAAAAAATTTAAAACAAATTAGTTATATTTCAATTGTAATATAAAAAATAAAATAACTTACTCCCTATAATATTATAAATCAATATATATATTTTGAATTTAAAAGATTAAAATAAATTTTAATTATATAAGTTAAGAAATATAAAAATTAAATGGCTTACAATCTAATTATCAATAATAATTAAAATTATTTATTTTTTTTAAATAAAAAAATATAAAATAAAATATTATTAAAATATTCATTACCATATAATTGTTTTAATGTAGGAACATCAGAAACATTTGAAATAGGCTCTATTATAATGTTTTTTTGAGAAAATTTTTGAAATTAATTACTAAGATTAGTATTTAAATAATTTATAAATGTACTTTACCATTTAATCCTTCTAATATTTTCACAGATTGATTATAGTTAATAGATTAAATATTTGTTGTATTATTATATTTGCTATTTTATCTTACCTTTATCACTCGAAATTAGTTCTATATTTTACATTATTAAATTTTAGCAAATTACATATTATAATTATTATGATATTTATACTTAGATTTGTCTATATTTCAATTTTAAGTGAGAAAGTATAATAAATGAATAGATTAATATTTACCTCTATCGCTTGAAGCCTTTTCTATATTCAATGTGAATAATGATGCATGTTTTACTTCTAATGAGGAATCTTTTTTAGCGTTCGAAATTGGCTCTATTGTGAATTTATAAAAAAGATATTTTAGAATATCATTTAACTGTCAAATAAACTTATTTTAAGCATGCTAAGCTTCTTTGCTTTTATTCCTTTTTTTTGTTTGGTGGGTGAAAATGTTTTATTAAACCTTTACCTTTAATATTATTACCAGACATGTTTGTTATAAATTTATAAAAAATAAAAATTTTTTTTTTCAACCATAATTTATATTTTGTATAACGATTACGGAATGTAATGGTGGTGATACATATTATCAAGATAAAATCTAACCTTACCGTGAAGAAACTTTACCAATGGTGTTATAAACTGAAAATTTTTTTATTTCTATTGGATAAATTAAAAAAAAATTCAATTTTTTTAGACGTTCTAAAATTCTTAAAATTAAGAATACATTTTCGTGTTTATTGTTATTATTATTTTTTTTGAGTATTAATAATTAACTGTATTTGCTCTGAAGATCATCCGCCGAGTTTCCATACCATATCGAGAGTCCTGTCGATCTAAATAAGGTGTTATATATACTCGGTTGTACTGTAAGTGTACCATACTTGTACTAATTCTTATATTAATTATTATAATGTACTAATACTTCCCAACCCCTGGTGGGCCTTATCCTTCTTACCAAATAAAAATAATAATAATAAAAAAACGAAATAAGGTTATACTAAAAAAATTAAATAAAAAATATTTGCTACGATCGTAGCGATGAACCCGCCAAATAAAATATAATAAACAATTTATTGAAAATAATTACCTATGCGTCCAACTCAATGTAAGTCGCCTAAAAAAAAATAAATAAATAAAAAATAATTAAATGAAATAAAATAATCAAAAAAAAACTTTTTATGGATCCAGTACTTAAAGAACAAAAGGACTATTCTCAAAATTGCAATTTGGTAATACCGGAATATTTGTTACAACTCATTGAAAAACTTAATGGGTTAGGATTGAAACTTGATTTTTAATTGTACAGATTGTTACCGATGGTCGCTTGCTTCGTTGACATCTAGAAGGAATCGATGACGACGATTTTTGGAGCATGTTCATTACGGTAGTGGCATGCTATCTCCTTGCTGGGATGGATGGGTATACTCTTTGTTTCCGTAGATATAACTTTTGAAAAATTCTATAATTCCTTCTGCAATAACTTCTGGATTGGTAAACATTCCATTTATATGGAGTATTGAGGAAGAGGAATTCAAATGAGTCTCTTTGAGGGTTTTTAGGTGCTGGATAGGATAAGATTAACGATGAGTAGGCCATTTCACTTGTTATTGATTGGTATGTTACTGATGCTTAAGTTCGAAATGTTATTATCATAGCTTTTAATATCTTTTTACGATAATTTTTTATGTAATATACAGTATGTCCAATTCAGTATTGTGCATAAAAAAACAATATGTTAGAATTCAGCAAGTGTTATAAGTAAGATAAAAGATTGAAAATTTTTTAAATTATTTTTTTTTAAAAAAATTTAAAATAAATAAAAATAAGACAAATAACAATTTTTGTTTTAATTCCTGAATTCTAGGTTCCAAGTCTTTTAGATTTTTTATTTTCTAGATTGTTTTTAAAACCATTAATTTTTGTATTACTTAATATGATGATCGATTATTCCGATTCTACTTTTGATTTGGGGCAAATACATTATTTATTTATTTGCTAATTTTTGATTGTAATAAATGTATTTTTAGATTGTAATTACTTGCAAATAAATAAATAACAGAGGGTAGGGTAGGGTCATTCAGTTCAGTCTTCGATTAATCATTTCTCGTATGAATTAATAAAAATGATCTAACATTGGATCGTCGGTGTCACCAAATAAAGTTTCAAATAAACGCTGGATGATTTTCGGAGAATAAAGGTTATAAGGATAACTGTTATTAAATAATTTGAATTTAGTAAATTATTGCTTTAAATATTATTAAACCCAGTATCCATTAATACGAATTTGAGTTTAGTTATTTACAAAGTAAAAAAAGTTTATTAATTCGATTGAAAGTCGTTGCTAAATTATTTTGTGACAAATTATCATTAAATCAGTCCTAAATTCTTTTGAAAAAAAATGTATTGTATAACTGAAAATAACGAGATAAATGAAGAAGTTACTGTTTAAGTACGTACTAAGTTTCAATAATTTTTTAAAATACTCATTAAATTTAACTAGACATAGGTTTTTGTAAAAGATGCTGAAAAGCTTAGTTTTAACATTTGCGAATAATAAATATAAAAAAATTTACTAAAGTTCTTATAACCTTACTTTAGCTATTGATATTGATAAATTTCTTAGTGAAATATTATTAAATTATTTGCAAGACATAATATATAACGTGCTAGTTAGAAAAGAAATTTTAATTGTTAACAGAAAAGCAAGGAATGTAATTAAATTTTAATCAAAACTCGACTGAATTATTATTGTTTGATCTGTCTCGATTATTGTTTAACTCGAATTATAAGGTAATATTACCGTATAGCGCTGAAATTAGTACCAGGTACTATTCAAGCAATCTGAGCCTAATTTGAATAGTACCCGGAGGTACTATACTCGGAGAAGGGTACTACATAAGGATATTACACAAAGGGAAGGGGGTATGATAATCGTCGATCATCATCATCGAATTTTTGAATTTTTAACATTTCTTGAAATGAAAATATACTATTATGTTTATATAACACGAATGACACGAATTTCATGGATGATGCGTCAGAGTTTTATTTATTTTAACTCTGGTTTTTTTTAATTTCATTTTTTTATTTTTAGTTTCAACATAAATTTGCCATTTCTTTATTACTCTATCAAAATAAAATGTTCTGCATGCAAACAACAATACCAATCATGCAAGTGTGTCAGAAAAGTTGTGAAGAGTATGAAATGTAAGAGAAAAACTTAGCATTTGTTATATATAGGCGAATACAACATGATTATTCTTTAGCATTTATTGGTAATATGAATGAGACTTCAATGACATTTGATTTACCAAGTAATACTACTATTGATGGATTAGGAGCAAAATCTATTAGTATTTGTACAACAGGTCATGAAAAAACTAACTTTACAGTAGTTTTAACATGTATGACAGATGGAACCAAACTTCCTCCTCTTATAATCTTTAAACTTAAAAAAATTCCAAAAGGAAATTTTCCATTAGAAGTAATTGTTCATATAATCCAACTGGATGGATGAATGAAAATGAAATGTTATTTTGGATTGGAAATTTTGGGTTAAACATGCAAGACTTTCTAATCCACAATTATTATTAGTTTTAGATTCATTTCAGCATATATTATTGATTCTGTTAAAAGGCATTTTAGTGAAAAGAATACTAATATTGCTATTATTCTAGAAGAATTAACATTTTATTTATAATCTTTAGATATTTCAATCAATAAGTCATCTAAAGTAAAGGTAAAGTTTTATTGATTTTATTGATTATTTATTTTAATTATTTTTATATATTTGATTTTATATTATATTATAAATTTATTTCCTATAAATGTGAAAAATTATAATGATTAGATATATAAATCTGTAAGAGAGTTAACACCTGCTAGTAGAATCAAAAGTCTATGAAACTATTATAAATTAGATTAATAGACTATGAAACATGATTGATATTAATTTAATTCAACAATCTTTTAAATGTTATGGTATTTTAACAAATATAATAAAATAAAAGATGATTAGATTTTCAATTATAAATGTCTTAACCAAATAAAATCAAATAATGAAGTAAAGAATTTAGATCATAATAATAAAAAATGATGAAAACAATAATATTAAAAATAATCATTATAATAAGAAGAGAAAGAAATTATGATAATGAATAGAATTAGATAATTACATAAACTTAATCATAATCTTGTATAAAATATAATAAATCTTAATTAATGTAATAATATACAATGCATTTTTTTTAAATATTACAATCAATCAAATTGATTGACATAGTTATAGTTAAGGTTGCTAGATGAAATTCAGAGTTTAGACAGACATCTAAATGGTAAAGATAAAACTTGGTTAAATTATATTAAAACCTTATTAAAAAATCTGCAAAATTCAGAAAAAGGTAAAACTATATTGAAGCTTATAAAAATGGCAAAACTATATCAAACATTTAGTAAAAATTTAGCAAAACTAAAGGTTTAGACATTTAGCCAAATCCAAAATAAGTTTAGATAAGCAACCTTAGTTACAGTAAATTTGATTGACATATAGATCAATTTTATTAGTTAATTAATTAGAATTCTTATATTAATCAAATATTTTACTTTTTGTAATGGATTAATACCTAATACTAATCAAGAAAAATATTTACAAGGAAGAATTAATGCTAATATTATATAGTAATAGTAAAAGTAAAAAAAATATTTATGCAGATAATGAAAAATGTGTATTAAATTTAAATAATTACACTCTAAATAACACTAAAAATCTTTTATAATTGAATAACTAATATTGTAAAACCATATTTGATGTCCTCTAAAATATTTTAAAAAAAAATAATAATAACCTATAATATATCACATTATACTCATATAAAATAGATACAAGAAGTTAAAATATCTAACTTTTCAATATATAGAGGGGTGACAAAAGTATTTACACACTTTCTAATATATAGTATTTAATGTCAATTTTCTTAATACCTAATGATTCAAATTAAAAAAAACTTTATAAATTATAGTTAAATAATATATTTATAATATATTAAAATTTGAGCTAATTTTAATCACTGGTTGATAAAAAATTTAAAATAATAATAAAATAATATTTTATAAAAATTTTCAAAAAAAATATTAAAGTTTTCGTATACAATTGTCATCAATGAATATCTTAAAATCCAATGATTCAAATTGAACCAAAATTTAATATATTATTATTATAATTTAGTGTTATAATATATAAAAATATAAGTTAATTATAATCATAAGTTGTTGAGAAAACGAATATATTATATAAATTATAAAAAATTATTAAAAATTATTTATATACTATCATTGATGCTGATATTCTCAGCATCTAGTAATTAAAATTAGCTCAAATTTTTATATGTTAGTTGATTAGATTGTATTTATAATATATAAAAGTTTGGTCTAATTTGAATTACTAGATTTCGAGATATTTAATAATTACATTCATGTGCAGAAACATTTATCCACTTACTATATTTTTGAATTTATATTTAGGTGAAAAGTTGCTTTCAAAAAGTTCTTTAACAAAAAATTTATTTCGTAATGCTTTTTATTTTCAAGAGAAGCTATATTAATAGAATTAATAGGTTGATAATTTTATACATTATTTAAATTGTTACAAATTAAAGACTTTATAGTAATAGTATCATCTGATTATTCAGATTACTTTTTAACATCACTGATAAAAGTTCAGTCATATATTTTATAGTACAGTGAACTCTTGATATAACGAATTCTAGAATCTGAATATTAACTTAATTATAAGCTTATAATGAATTTTTTAAAGAATTTAATTGGCTAGTTCACTATAGTAAGGTAATTTTAATATATTTGATTTAAAAATTCGCTATATTAAGGGTTCGCTATATCAAGGTTTGACTGTAAATAGTTTTAATAAACAGAATCTAAACTATTCTAATTAATTAGATATAATAAATTAATAGTAATAAATAGATTTTATACTCTAAAAAAACAAATTTTCAAATAATATAAAAATATGAAAGATATGATGTGAGATTATATAACCATATATCTAACCTTTTTTATTAATAATGCTAAAAAAGATGATCAAGCATATCAAAACAGATTTTAAGAAATTAGAACTTATAACATAAAATTAGAGTTCTAACTTAAATCTTAAGTTATGTCAAATGATATGTATTTATTCAATTGACCTTAAATCAATACCATTATATTAGAAAAATTCTGCAATATAATCATTTTCTTATAGTAGATATATTTAAGATCAAATTAAAAGAAAATAATCCTAATC